GGGTTACCCAGGACAAAGAATCCAAACACCAGCCATCAACTGCAAAAAGAAGTCCTGAATGCCATCTGGGAGGGACTTCATATTACTCCTCATGTAGGAGATACACATACACACATAGAAATATATATGCCCAATATCAAGGGCAGGAAATACTTCCTCTCTCACCACTTTCCAGACCTGTAAATGCAGAGGAATAAGAAAAGGGGAAAAAAATCATAGGGAAAAAGTCTGACTTCGCTAAAAGAAGAGCGGCAGGAAAGGAAGAATCCTGAGTTCTGCCAGCATGTTCAGTTCACATTCTTTTCAAAAGACTTCAAAGTCTATCCTGTACTTAAAATAAGATAGGAAGTAGTGGGACTAACCTGGAGGAGTTTAGAGGTAGAAGCAGAGGAGGAAACAAACAAGAGAATTCTTGATTTTCAAGGTCCTCATTTGCTTTCAGATAAAAGAGCTGTCTGTTACTCTAGCTCAGGTTTATCAGATATCCAAGGGACTCGAGACACCCCACACACAGTTAACTTAATTGGAATCAGACATCCAGATCCACTGGTCAGCTTTAGAAAAATATCCCAGGTTAGCCTGTGTGTTATTCCAAGAGGGCATGCCCTCCTCTTACTGCTCTGGAATAGCCACCTTCAGGTGGATTTAATAATGAGCATCTCAAAAGAAAAAGAGTTGCTGATGCCCCCTTTTTTCCCCAAGAGGAAGGAACAGATGCGTGCATCTGTACCTCTTCAGTCCATGCCCCCAGCCAGACAAGAAGGCAGCTAGTTCCACAGACCAGGTATCAACGGTTTGCAGATAGACTAACTGGCGGGAGCACAGAGATGCTATAACTAGTTATCAGTTCTGCACTGCCCTCTGTTTAAATAAAACACATGCAACAAAAACACTGGTGTTCAGCATCACCATTTCCCTATCAGACAAAAGGCTTCCCCCTCACCAAACAAAATCCTTTCGCTATTTGTAATAGATGGTCACCAGAATACTGTATCCAAATCATGTAGATTAGATCCCAAACTAAAATAGGCAGTCTTGAGAACAATGACCTCTGCTCTGGGTCGTCAGCAGACATAACACTGGACATCCAGCACCCAGTGCACAATCCGCTGCCATCCAAGCTACGGGAGCAGCTCCACCAGCTAGCAGCAGTACTTGGCTTGCCCTTTTTATTGAATACCTGCTAAAGAGGAAGCATACAGACTACAGTCACAGGTCACATACACAATGCTGCTGAATGCCACTGAACGCTACGGCAAGTAGTTCCCGACTGTTGACTTGCCGGAGCAATTCCCATCCATGTGCATTATAGCCCTGTAGAAAATGCTGGCAAGAACAAGCTCTTCGGTCCCATCCTGCAGGAACTTGAGCAAAAAAAACAAACAACCCTGTGGTAGCCTCATTAACTGTAAGCTTAGACTGAAGTTTTACCTGCCTGTGTTTCATACATTGCTTTGCACAAAAAGGCATCTAAATTTCTATGTCATTAAGTCACACAAATATATTTTTGTGGCAAAGGAGCTTTTTTAAGGACTGAGGCTGTTACGTTTCTGCTTTTAAGATTTTTTTTTAACAATAGTTCTCAAGAGAAAAAAAAACACTTACATTTGAAAATATCTAATGAACATGCTAAATTCAATAAGGCTTTTCCAACTTAGTATAGGGGGTGATGTCAGAACTGATAGGCTGCACATTAAAAACTTAAATTACTGTAATCTTCAATATTCAAAAGGGAAGACAAAACTTTTTTCCCCCCCACCATCATGTCACTGCTGCTTTTTAAGGATTTTTATGCCAGCAAAGCTATAAATGATCAACTATTACAGAGCTCCTTCCAGCATTTGGAAGTGAGGTAGATATTTATCAAGCAACGGCAGCTGCGAGAATGCTTATGTATATTCTTTTCATCTCACTGTTAGCCATATACTAGAGCCTCAACAAGTCAAACCCCTGCAGCAAATTTCCTAAAACAATGGTTTCAAGTTATCCTAGACTTCATAAGAAGAGCAGGATTATACATCACAGTGTAATCTACTGGAGGCAATCACATAGGATTTTCTGCTAGGGTCATTCTTAAAAAAAAAAAAAAATTAATAATAATCAGGGAAGAATTCTCTTCTGTTACAACCTGCCGCTTCTTGTCAGTAACCGATTTGCATCATCAGAGAGGTGTCAAATCCTGAAGACGCAGTTTAAAAGCCTGAAAGAAAGCATTTTACTGGGATTCAGTTTGAAAGGGGGAAGACTAGCCAATTTAAAAAAAAAAAAAGCATAATCAGAAAGGGAGAAGGAATAGACACAAACTACTCTGCACACACAAATAAGCGAGCATGACTCCAGAGATCACAGCAAGCGTGTGACCCGGCAGTCGACGAGCGCAGCCCAAGAACTAGCAGCGCGGAGCTCTGGCTGGCAGAGCCGCTGCTCACGAAAGAGTTAAGCGAGCCGAGGCAGGTCAAAAGGCCTCCCGAAGGAAGGGGCTCGAGCAAAGCACTGCCAGGAGGTCTGTGGGAATGACAAGGGGGAACGTTCCCGCAGACCAGCTTCCACCTCGGCACTCAGTTACAGCCATCGGGGTAGAAAGCCAGGAAGACCACAGGAAAAAAAAAAGTTCAATCCACGTTTTGCTAGACATACCAGGAAGGAAGACTACCTAGGAAAAAAAACTCCTTACACCTAGAGAGAGACAGAGATATTTCATTATATCCCATTAATCTCCACAGGCCCAAGCATGAGCTAGCTAATTGGACTAAAGTACAGTCACATTTTAACACTGAACATCCACTATTCAGCTGGGACAAATGAACAACTAAAGTCCAAAACCTTAATTCATTATTTAATAAAAAAACAGAAAACAAAAAAAAAAATCCAGATTATAAAACGCAAGAAAGAATAATATAGCATAACTGATATAAAATCTGTTCTTTATTGCATCTGATTTTCTCCAATTTTGTTTTAAGCTCCTTTCATTCTTAAGACTTTTTTTTCCAGCAGCAAAAAAACCCCACTCCACAGAAACCCCAGCACCTTAGAAAGCACAAGCGAGTGACGAGCAGAAACAGTCACCGCGCTGACCTCTCCGGAGAGAGCGAGCTCCTGCTCGGAGCGAAATCCAACCTACGTCCCAGGATTCGCCCCACACATGAAAGACCTCTGTTACCAAACTCCCTCCCCCCTCCCTCCCCGCCCAAAGTACTACTTGGAGAAAAACAAAATCCTCTTTGTAAAAGTGACCTGATTTTGCATTCCTTAACATGAAAATTAACACATTAATATCTACAGCATAAGACTTGCTCCATTTTTTTTATTGTTTTAAAAGAAATCGTATGGGACAGTTTAACAGCTCCGTTGATAAGCATTATAAACTTTTACAAATAACACAGAGATACAGGTAACTGGTAACTGAAGACAATTTAAAATTCAAATAAGCCTTTTAAAAGTGTGTTGGAAAAGGAATATCAATCACAGTGCAAGATTGTCTCCATACTTTAATTATGAAACCATTCAAAATTTTGGTAACTTTAAAAAAGTATCTGATGGTACAGACAGCATTAATCCAACCACATAATCCAGAAACCCAAAACCCTACAAACTCTTGGCTTAGCACAGACGCAAGCCAGCAGCCACCTCATTATTTACTAATTGGTTATTAGATATGTCCTATGAAAACAAGGACCCCTAAATTCTTAACTATCTTAGTTTGGTTTAAAATTCTGCAGGTAGGCTATTGGATTTTGGGGGGAGGGGGGAGTTTTTTGTTTTGTTTTTTTAAAGAAATCACTAGCCCCTCTCCTGCTATATGCATAGGGCTCCTAAATGACACACTGTTTTTCCTGGATGCATGTTTTACACAGTAAAGTTATAGTTCCACGCACTATTAAATTGCTTGCTCCCATAAGGAACTACATAAAATAAAATTAAGTTAAATTTGTTCAGGTAGTCTCATGCCATCAAATTTCAACCACGGTTCCCTATTTGCTTGCATCCACAACTTTGCATTTCTTTCCACTTTTTACAAGAATGCAGAAGCAACCCAAGATTATTATAACGTATACAACAAATGGTATATACCAGCTAAAAAAGTTCTTCCAATAGACTCTCAGAAACAAATAAAAAGAGACGAAAGTCAATAACTAAAGGGTTTTTTCAGCCTTTGGCTTTCAAAAAAAATCAAATACAACTAACTGCTCGTTTGGATTTGAAAATCGATCTGCTGTTTTTGTTACGCACAGTTCTGAAGAGCAACAGCCATTTCTATTCCATAAACAGGTCCTGCAGAAGGAAGGGCACCTAGCAGTATTTCAGAGTGAGCATGCAGACAGAAGTTTCTCTGCACACGGCTTAAGTGTCTGTCTCAATGTGGAAACTGGCCACACTATAACAAGAGCTCCATGGAAGAAGGTCACTTATCCAACCAGCCTGATCGGATAAGAGACTTAAAGCTCATTGTTTCACTGTTCTTGCAAAAGAATACCCTGTGGCCTGAAGAGTTCAGAGCTTCATCAGAAACTTGCTATCCAATGCTTATTAGTCTCCAAACACATCTCAGAAGTTATACAAAAGAAAACTTGCAAACAATGAAGGCAGAGATATATTCCCATCCATCACAACCACAGAACTGAAAGCTCAGCTCAAAACAAGCCTGAAGTCTGTGCTTAATCCAAACACTCCTCATAAACTCCATGCAAAACATATCGCGTAAAAGAGTAAAACAAATGCAAGTAATGCAGCGACAATCTCCCACTAGAACTACAGAAGTCTCTGCTTTTCAGCCAGTCACCACTGACCGAGACTCTGCAAGGAGATGGTTAAACTGGAGACACGTAATATCACACAAAGCAGCTCTCCTGTAGTTTCACAGCCATACGCTGATACCCTTAAGACGCCATGCACTCCGGCTTTAAAAGCTTTCATTGCCAATTCCCTGTTTGAAACCTGAACTGCCTGGCAACAATGATTCTCTGTGTGCCTAAAATCCTATTATCGATCCTCCTACTTACCTTAGGCTGTGCTCGCCGGGGAAATGCAACTTTAGGGTCAATCTGAGGAAAAAGAAAAGGGAAATCAACAAGATAGCTTTTGTTGGGTTTTTTTTGTTCGTTTGTTTTTTTTAAATCACTGAATTATTAATCTCTCATTTCTCAGGCTTGTAATTCAGCACACTAGGTCATCTAAAACTACTCTGGAAGTGATGGACCACAGACTGAGGTTAGTCTAGGGGCTTTCTGATGGTGGAGAGGGGTCTCGTCTGTACACTACCTACATTATCATCAGGGCTGCACTCTCCCTTGGTACACAGGAAGCTTTCTACTCGTCTCCGGGTGCTGCCTCTACAACCAAAACTGCACGTTAAACGTTATCTGCATACTCTGAAGGCTGCACAGAAAGACGGCCGGCATTCTTGATCAAGATCTTAACCTGCTGGTTTTGACACCTGTGCCTTCAGTTGGGTTTTGGGTTACTTTGGTTTTGTTTTATTTCATTTTTGTTTTTTCTACTTTCTTTTATCAACTCTGACTAGCAACACTACACAAAGAAGAAATACAAAACACTAAGAGCCAAATCATTTACATTTCAATTAATTATAAAAAATACCCGGTTAGAAGGACTGCAAGATTATCCTCCATAACAACATCCCTAATTGATCTTGGATACAGTTCTCTGAAAGAATTTAGGTGGGCAATGAAAGATTATTAAAGGGTTTTGTGGGGAGAGGAGAGAGAGAGCAAAAATGAAGAAAATATGCAGGTATTTTAAACCAGAAGAAATAGAGTTCCTAAAAAAGAAAAAAAAGTTCTTCCACCACAGGAGTCCCCTAAAGTATACTTGAAGTATGCTACCATAGAGACAAAAAGGAAGAAAAAGCATCTCTTGTTTTATCCCGTGCTACCTTATTTTAAGATGCAGCACCGACTTCCATTTCACTGCGCAAATCAAAAAGCGTGTCCACTCTGCAATTCAAAATGCTAATTTTGAAATTTTAGAAACAACTTCCACACGGGCCATCTTTAAAAAGCAACTGTGTTCTGCCATTCAAAAAAAAAAAAAAATCACTTAAAAGCAAAAAGACACCACCAGAGGTGAATGGCTAGATATAAATAAAAATCATAGCTTATAAACAAATGCTGGTCTTAAATCGTCATCATTAAAAAGATTGTAATAAAATGTTCCCATGCTGCTGATTTCATCTTTTTCATCAGCATTTGCACAGACATGTTCTAAATAAAGAGTCTGGGAAGGGATGTTTTAAAGGACTAAAATCTACCGCAACTGTGACACTTCCAGCTTCTTTACCTATTTAACAAACTTCCACCCTGATCATTTTAAGGTATGCCTAGAAGTAGAGGCCTTCTTTCCTAATTTGGGTTTCTTTTTTGTTGTTTTATTTCCCCTCAAGATAACCCTGATCAGGAAAAGGAGATGTTTCCATCAGGTACTGTTATTCCTGTGGTGATGTTACTGATGGACAACCACGAGACAACCTTTAACTAGCAGTTTTACTCAATTAACGTGTCAAAATTGCAAACAGCACAGTCATTTGACGTGCAACTGATTAATTAGTCTACATTAGATACAAATGTAGTATTTTTAAGACATTCCTGAGAAATGAGTGATTAGATGCCACTTTTTGTTCAAAAAGCATAAAAAGTCAATTTTTTTTTTTATCTAGAAAGCTAACCTTTTCATAGAGATTAACATTATCTACAAATATATTCCGCACTGACTAGACATTTGTCTACCAGGGAAATACAACAGGTATGGATTTTCCAGTGAGATTCCCAAAGGTAGAGGCAAATATGCTACATTCGCTTTCAAAGTGAAAGTTTTCTCAATAAAGCAGAATAAACTCCAGCCCCACTAGAATGACATTACCGCAGAAACCCACTAACAAAAAGCTGGAAGAGCCATTAAATTCTAAAGCGAAATACTCATATCTGAAGGTCAGTTAAAAGACCAAGGGATCCTTTGCATCACAGCAACAGCACTTCTTAAGTAACTGAATTTTCCTTCACAAAAACTTTTGGGTAAACATCATTAGCGTTTTAAGGTGAACACAAGCAATTAGCATGGCAGATCCATACCTTTTGCATATCCCTGTCAACTATTTAAACAACAACAAAAAAAAAACTTCTACGAAAAAAAAATGAGTTAGTTAGGTACAATTCTACTTACTGTATCTACAAGTCCTCTAGGAAATGACTATAATACTATTTCTGATATGAATGGCCATTACCTAAACAAAGCTTTTAACGTAACTGTAAACAAGAGCGACGTTTCCATGCCAATACCCAACCGATCTGCCTCCTGCGCTGAACGTTGAAACAGAGTCAAATGCTATGTTATACTAAAGAACAGTTACTATAATATGTCTACAAGTAAATGGCTGAAAGGAAACCTGGCTACTTTCATGTTTTACTTTTAAGCTGTATTACTGATTCTAAGCTCGATTTCTTTTTCATTGACGCAGTCATTATCACACAATCAAAACTGGGGCAAATTTGTCCTGGTCTGGCTTTTCACCCTTCCCCCAGTAAAGACCAAATTAACACACTGCAGGGACCAAACTGTGATAAAGGGAAAAGCTGGGGGAGGCCCTCACTATTGTCAGAAATACAACTGGGTGTCCTCCTATGATTTTTTTTTTTAAACTCTCATTCAAAATACTGCTTGCCTTTGTTCCTCTTATCTAAATTTATCTTTAAAAACACACAGAGAATATAGCTGTACACGAAAAGTGTGGTGAGTTTAATCTCAGGAGCACAGTTGAATCAGTTATCTTATCATATCTGATTAAACCTAAAATCAAATTATTAAGGAATGTGAAAGCATGGGCTACGTGTTCAGACAAGCCCAGCAGAATTTGTAGGTTGAATTAAAACACTAGATTCCACCTGCTTCCACAAAGGCTTTGGGTTTTTTGTTTTCATAGAAATTACATTAAAAATGATACACTCATGTTTGCTTCCTGCCTCTTCAATTCTTCATTTAACTATATACATCTCATACACACAGGCACACACAAAATGTACCAGCATTAAGAAAGGATTCCTCCAAACACTGTTCTCACGTTAAAACAAAACATTTAGGCTCCAGAACACATACTATAAAAGACAGTTACAGCAACGAACACATTCGATACGGTCAGCAGAAGCTCTCTGCCAGACAGTTAAACCGATACGATCCTTCCCTTCCCAAAACACGACCCCCTTCATGAAGACCGATCAGTACCAAAGCAATAATGACCTCTACCAGTGTCCTTCCCCCACCTCCAGGTTTGCTGAGGCTTAAAATTGAAACAAAGTGAGGGACACGCACACACAAACTTCATCCTTTGGCACGGCCTTGACCGCAGAGATAAAAACAGGCCCTAGTGCTACACGCACACGCTTAGATACCTATTGTTTGACCCAATACTGAAAACGCAACATCGGGTCAAGGGGTTAATTTACATGGCAAATAAATAAATTAATAGCAGAAACATAACATTCATCAAAAATGGATCTGCTGGATCTCTTTAGCATTTTCCTCATATTATCGACTGGAGACCGAACGCGGCAAAAAGCTTTGCAGAAACAAACTGACAATTCGGGAGTCGGGCTTCTGTAGCACCTCCGCTCTCCGGCTCTCACAGAGCTGTCCGTAAGGTAACGCGTGTATTTCTTAAAACCCCCTCCTAGCCTTACGGGTGAGGGGATTCTCTCCAAAAAAAAGACTTAGGGAGGTTTCACTAGAGGAAGCTTTCAGGACTCGAGGTTAAGTCATTGCTACCTCGAAACGCACACAACGCCACAAAAAAATGAAAAACAACAAAAAAAAGCAAATAAGAAGTTCCCTGCGGAAAGCATTCTGCAGTGTAACACCAAAAAAGTTATGTTTTACTCTACGATTTTTTCAATGTCACAGCTCAATAAAACATAAGGTTGGGGGAGGAGCCATTGCTGGATACGGGTAAAACAGGATTTAAAAAAGTTACGGCTTTTTATAAATTAAAAGTGAACT